CATCCACCACAATTATCAAGCAAACATTTTTCGTTTTCTTCTCACTGTCTCTCTGAACCTCGACAGCAGACTGGCAAAAGAAAAACAAATAACAGGTAACCAAATATAAACATTTGTAAACTGCACAAAACTCATATCTTTTTGGAGAAGGATCCTTCAGGGCCTGAACGTTCATACACCATGGACCTCCAATTCTTGCTTCATGTGGCCTGAAACCACCATTCAGCGGTTTCAGGCCAAAAACTAGTTTTTTTATGTTAACATTACTGTCAAAAGATTTGTGAACCCTTTAAGATATTGAAGTTGTTATAACTAGTTAAAGTAGTTATAACGAATTCAAGTAGTTAAAACTAGTTCTAGTAATTATAAGTAGATAGTAATTATAAGTAGATAGTGGGCCACAACAACACCCCCACACACTACCAACACTACTTGGTAAACAGACCTGTGCTCCCAGGCTGCCGGGAGGTAGTGGCGAGGCTCCCAGGCTGCCGGGAGGTAGTGGCGAGGCTCCCAGGCTGCCGGGAGGTACAGGCGAGGCTCCCAGGCTGCCGGGAGGTAGTGGCGAGGCTCCAAGGCTGCCGGGAGGGAGTGGCGAGGCTCCCAGGCTGCCGGGAGGTAGTGGCGAGGCTCCCAGGCTGCCGGGAGGTAGTGGCGAGGCTCCCAGGCTGCCGGGAGGTAGAGGCGAGGCTCCCAGGCTGCCGGGAGGTAGGCTCCAAGGCTGCCGGGAGGGAGTGGCGAGGCTCCCAGGGCTAGTGGCCTCCCAGGCTGCCGGGAGGTAGTGGCGAGGCTCCCAGGCTGCCGGGAGGTAGTGGCGACGCTCCCAGGCTGCCGGGAGGTAGAGGCGAGGCTCCGAGGCTGCCAGGAGGTAGTGGCGAGGCTCCCAGGCTGCCGGGAGGTAGAGGCGAGGCTCCCGGGCTGCCGGGAGGTAGTGGCGAGGCTCCCAGGCTGCCGGGAGGTAGAGGCGAGGCTCCGAGGCTGCCAGGAGGTAGTGGCGAGGCTCCCAGGCTGCCGGGAGGTAGTGGCGAGGCTCCCAGGCTGCCGGGAGGTAGAGGCGAGGCTCCGAGGCTGCCAGGAGGTAGTGGCGAGGCTCCGAGGCTGCCGGGAGGTAGTGGCGAGGCTCCCAGGCTGCCGGGAGGTAGTGGCGAGGCTCCCAGGCTGCCGGGAGGTAGTGGCGAGGCTCTCAGGCTTCCGGGAGGTAGAGGCGAGGCTCCCAGGCAGCCGGGAGGTAGTAGCGAGGCTCCCAGGCTGCCGGGAGGTAGTGGCGAGGCTCCCAGGCTGCCGGGAGGTAGTGGCGAGGCTCCCAGGCTGCCGGGAGGTAGAGGCGAGGCTCCCAGGCTGCCGGGAGGTAGTGGCGAGGCTTCCAGGCTGCCGGGAGGTAGTAGCGAGGCTCCCAGGCTGCCGGGAGGTAGTGGCGAGGCTCCCAGGCTGCCGGGAGGTAGTGGCGAGGCTCCCAGGCTGCCGGGAGGTAGTGGCGAGGCTGCCGGGAGGTAGTGGCGAGGCTCCCAGGCTGCCGGGAGGTAGTGGCGAGGCTCCCAGGCTGCCGGGAGGTAGAGGCGAGGCTCCGAGATTCCCGGGAGGTAGTGGCGAGGCTCCCAGGCTGCCGGGAGGTAGTGGCGAGGCTTCCAGGCTGCCGGGAGGTAGTGGCGAGGCTCCCAGGCTGCCGGGAGGTAGTGGCGAGGCTCCCAGGCTGCCGGGAGGTAGAGGCGAGGATCCCAGGCTGCCGGGAGGTAGTGGCGAGGCTCCGAGGCTGCCGGGAGGTAGTGGCGAGGCTCCCAGGCTGCCGGGAGGTAGTGGCGAGGCTCCCAGGCTGCCGGGAGGTAGTGGCGAGGCTCCAGGCTGCCGGGAGGTAGAGGCGAGGCTCCCAGGCTGCCGGGAGGTAGAGGCGAGGCTCCCAGGCTGCCGGGAGGTAGTGGCGAGGCTCCGAGGCTGCCGGGAGGTAGAGGCGAGGCTCCCAGGCTGCCGGGAGGTAGAGGCGAGGCTCCCAGGCTGCCGGGAGGTAGTGGCGAGGCTCCCAGGCTGCCGGGAGGTAGTGGCGAGGCTCCCAGGCTGCCGGGAGGTAGAGGCCAGGCTCCGAGGCTGCCGGAAGGTATTGGCGAGACTCCCAGGCTGCCGGGAGGTAGTGGCGAGGCTCCCAGGCTGCCGGGAGGTAGTGGCGAGGCTCCCAGGCTGCCGGGAGGTAGTGGCGAGGCTCCAGGCTGCCGGGAGGTAGAGGCGAGGCTCCCAGGCTGCCGGGAGGTAGAGGCGAGGCTCCCAGGCTGCCGGGAGGTAGAGGCGAGGCTCCCAGGCTGCCGGGAGGTAGTGGCGAGGCTCCCAGGCTGCCGGGAGGTAGAGGCGAGGCTCCCAGGCTGCCGGGAGGTAGTGGCGAGGCTCCCAGGCTGCCGGGAGGTAGTGGCGAGGCTCCCAGGCTGCCGGGAGGTAGTGGCGAGGCTCCCAGGCTGCCGGGAGGTAGTGGCGAGGCTCCAGGCTGCCGGGAGGTAGTGGCGAGGCTCCCAGGTAGAGGCGAGGCTCCCAGGCTGCCGGGAGGTAGTGGCGAGGCTCCGAGGCTGCCGGGAGGTAGTGGCGAGGCTCCGAGGCTGCCGGAAGGTAGTGGCGAGGCTCCCAGGCTGCCGGAAGGTAGAGGCGAGGCTCCCAGGCTGCCGGGTGGTAGTGGCGAGGCACCCAGGCTGCCGGGAGGTAGTGGCGAGGCTCCGAGGCTGCCGGGAGGTAGTGGCGAAGCTCCGAGGCTGCCGGGAGGTAGTGGCGAGGCTCCGAGGCTGCCGCTGCAGTAAGCGATAGCATTAATCTGACCCCGGGCCTGGAGCGGCGCCTAGGGGGGGGGGGGGGGCTGGCTGTGTCAACATGATGGACGTCCTCTCCATCACCCCGTCACTTGTATGTTAATCAAACCTCTTAGCAACTCCTTGTGAGGGTCTCCTGCTATTATCCAACACCTTGGGTGGGTCTCCTGCTATTATCCAACACCTTGGGTGGGTCTCCTGCTATTATCCAACACCTTGGGTGGGTCTCCTGATATTATCCAACACCTTGGGTGGGTCTCCTGGTATTATCCAACACCTTGGGTGGGTCTCCTGGTATTATCCAACACCTTGGGTGGGTCTCCTGATATTATCCAACACCTTGGGTGGGTCTCCTGCTATTATCCAACACCTTGGGTGGGTCTCCTGATATTATCCAACACCTTGGATGGGTCTCCTGATATTATCCAACACCTTGGGTGGGTCTCCTGGTATTATCCAACACCTTGGGTGGGTCTCCTGCCATTATCCAACACCTTGGGTGGGTCTCCTGCTATTATCCACCACCTTGGGCGAGTCTCCTGATATTATCCAACACCTTGGGTGGGTCTCCTGCTATTATCCAACACCTTTGGTGGGTCTCCTGATATTATCCAACACCTTGGGTGGGTCTCCTGATATTATCCAACACCTTGGGTGGGTCTCCTGATATTATCCTACACCTTGGGTGGGTCTCCTGATATTATCCAACACCTTGGGTGGGTCTCCTGATATTATCCAACACCTTGGGTGGGTCTCCTGGTATTATCCAACACCTTGGGTGGGTCTCCTGGTATTATCCAACACCTTGGGTGGGTCTCCTGATATTATCCAACACCTTGGGTGGGTCTCCTGATATTATCCAACACCTTGGGTGGGTCTCCTGGTATTATCCAACACCTTGGGTGGGTCTCCTGGTATTATCCAACACCTTGGGTGCGTCTCCTGGTATTATCCAACACCTTGGGTGGGTCTCCTGCCATTATCCAACACCTTGGATGGGTCTCCTGGTATTATCCAACACCTTGGGTGGGTCTCCTGGTATTATCCAACACCTTGGGTGGGTCTCCTGATATTATCCAACACCTTGGGTGGGTCTCCTGGTATTATCCAACACCTTGGGTGGGTCTCCTGGTATTATCCAACACCTTGGGTGGGTCTCCTGATATTATCCAACACCTTGGGTGGGTCTCCTGGTATTATCCAACACCTTGGGTGGGTCTCCTGATATTATCCAACACCTTGGGTGGGTCTCCTGCTATTATCCAACACCTTGGGTGGGTCTCCTGTTATTATCCAACACCTTGGGTGGGTCTCCTGATATTATCCAACACCTTGGGTGGGTCTCCTGGTATTATCCAACACCTTGGGTGGGTCTCCTGATATTATCCAACACCTTGGGTAAGTGTTCTCCGGATGATGTCACAAGATAAGGTCCTGGCTGACGTCAGCCTCATAAGGCCTTAATGTTTAAGGAGCAGCAGCACTCGGTATTTTAAATAAAAAGTATAAGGGAATCATGCCCAGTGATATTAGTTCCCTCTGATACCTCATAACTGAGACTTCGGTAAGAGTAGTAAGCCAGGAACCATCCATCAGGCTGAGAGTTAATAAGCCTGAAATAAGGATCCTATTAGAGAGTAAAGCACTTATAACCAATCTCAGCGAGAGGATGCACTAATTATGCTCAACTTTAAAATGCCTTAAATGAAGTGAAGAAGAGATTCATCACTCCAAGCCATTCTCCCTGTGAGACAATGGGTTGGCACCAGCTGAACCTTCTATTAGTGTACGTGCACGTGACTGACGCTCGCAGTGCACTGGAGCACGTGAATGGCCGTTCACCCAGACCAGATTTGGCAACCCGTACCCGAAACGTCCAGTGTATAGGCTCGCTGAAGAGCCCAGGTTATCACTATTTCAAATATATTACAATGGCCGTTGTAGCGAAGTTGTGGAAAGAGTTAAAGCGAGTAGCTTTAATTTAAAGTAGGAACACATACAGTGTTATTAGATTGAGGACCAGTGAGGGTGTTATTAGACTGAGGGCCGTCCTAGTGTGTTTTATACTCCATTATGGTGGGATTTCATGTATGTAAAATTTTTAGGAGAAATTGTTATTGTTGTGCCCCATGTCCGTGTAGTCTGTTGCAGGAGAGGAGACCAGTAGCGGTCACCAGTACACGGTAGAGTGTCAGTGTGGTAACACCGGGGAGTGCCTGGCACTTGAGTATTGTGGAGTAATATTAGTGTGTGGTTTTATACAAGTGTTGTGGTCCAGGGCTGTGGTAAATGTGATTACATATATATTTATGTGGCTGACCTGTTAACGTAATTTTGGTAGACTTGTGGTGAAGTGTGAGTAACGTGGCTGTCAGGAATGACAGCTGATAGCTCGGTCGAGTAACGTATGTGACGGGAGTAATTATCGATCCGTGGGATCGGTAATCACTTGCCAAAGTTGATCAGGAGTGTGTCATCTCCTTAGTGTTCCGCATTAGCATTCGATAGCTGAAGGCTACAGGTGTGAAGGATATATATAATTGTAGTGTCACGAAGCCTATGTGTGTTATTACTATGGTTGCAGTAATTGGTTATTGCAACCGGGTTGCAAAGTGTGGGGCCGTGTTCTAAGTGGTAATTAGAACACAGTGTGTCAGTGCAACAGAATAGTAAAGTGTTGGGCCGTGTTCTAATATAGTGAAATTAGAGCACCTTTGGTGTGTGTGTCATTGCAAAGGGGTTGTAAACTGTTGGGCCGTGATTGTTATAAGTGCTGATCAATCACTGTGTGTTATTGTCGTTCAGTAAATTGTATGGGCCATGTTCTAGTGGTTTAGAGCACCAAGTGTGTTATTTACTGGTGTTCTGCAGTAACTGTAATTGCACCCGGATTGTAATCGTTTAAATCACCGGGTGTTGTGATTTATTGTGTGGTGGTGAACTGGTCATTGGGACGTGTACTTGGTGTTATATTTTCCTGTGTATTTGGTTGTCATCCAAGTCCAGTATTGTGTGAAAGTTGATTGAGAAGCAATTAATGTAACGTAACCAAGGCAACACCCATTGCTTATACAGAAATTGTTCTATGACAATTTGAGTAATGTAGGAGGTTGTAGGAAGACCGGGAGGGCTGAACTCTTGCATCTTAAGTACTGTCTGTTGTATATTACCTGTCAGTTGGACAGGTAGTTACGGGTTCCTGGAAGTCAAGGTAATTAACTCCGATCAGGGGTGATCGACTCACACGAAGGCTACATTGTTTCATTAACGTTATAATTTGTTATAATTGCTGAGCCAGTGTGAAAGGTGACGTATTCGTGTATTAATTAATTCTTCATCTTCGGGATAGTAATTAATTACTCGAGGGTAGTCGAGGGTGATTGCCGTTCTCTTAGCACTTTGGACATAGAATTGTAGCAAACTATTGAGGGAGATAGTAACCAATAGCGTAACTCGTACTGGGATTAATCAGCTGTCTGGAGTACAGGGATTAATCAGCTGTCTGGAGTACAGGGATTAATGGGGATTACTCACTGAATGCTCGACGGGTTGAGTGTTTGTGTAATTCCGAGTTACTAGTGACAGTTGAACAGTTTGATCTGTCTGTGGGAGACAAGATTAAGTTAACGTAAGTGTTACTTTGATATTAACGTAATCAATTAGTTATTGATTGTTGATCGTCCGAGGGACGAAGTGTTAATGTAAGAATATAATTGAGGATGGTCGCTGGAGTTGCCGGTAGCCCCATTAGTCATTGATAGTCTGCTAGTTTGATTGTATTGCAGCCACCATTGTAGGGGAGGGCTGCAAGAAGCGTAGAGGAACTGGAGGAGGTTACAGGAGGCGTGTCTCCTAACCTGCCTTGTTGTTGTTGCATTAGTGATTATAGACTTAGTATGTCTTGCTTGCTGGATTGATTCCTCTGTGATCACTCAGTATGTTCAAGTTAGTTCATTACTGCAGCACTCATGGCTGGTGTCTAGCTGTCCGTAAAGGTGTCACAAGAAGGATTTCGAGTATTGTCACTGATATTTCTTTCGTTGTTGTAGTAGTTATTAGTTTATTGAATAAACTGTATTATGTTGAACACTGTTCTTTCGTTCACCCGACACATTTTACCGATGTACTATTGTTCTGCCGTGTGCCTGACATTACTATTGCTGTTCATTTCAGATTGCTTTTGAGAATAAGAGCTGAAGTCATAGCAGCAGCACAACAACTTAAATGTTGAGAGATGCCGTGACCTACTCGTTACCTTCCCTCCAGCGATATGAGAAGGTCAGCGGCCTAAGTGAAGGGGATTTCAAACTCTTGAGGTCTCAGCATTTGCTCGTGCATAGTCAATTGTTCTTCTATGGTCTCTGGAGTGAGGAAGGAGCTGCTTACTACACTTAGCGTGTTAGCTAAGCAAGTCCTTCCTCAGGAGATCCATCTAGACATACAGTTAAAGTTGACTGATGTAATATTAGAATATCACAACAAGAATAAGGTTAAAGAAATTAAATATTTTCAAATGTCAAAATAAATTCCAAATTCAAAACAATGTTTTCACACTCCAGCATTTTTCTCCTCTAAATCCAGCAATACAATCATGCTCCCTCAACTACTCAGACCTTCTCTTAAGGGGAACATTAAGCTGCCTCGCGTGAAGGGCTCAGAATGGCCCTTGATCCACCTTCTTTTTTCTCTACTCATTACGAAGATCAAGATCCGTAAGAGCTGTGACGAGGATTGGAAGCTATGTGGTGGGTAGTCCCACGCACACGCCCCACAACCTGACAACGCTGTGTGGTGGGTAGTCCCACGCACACGCCCCAGACAACCTGTGTGGTGGGTAGTCCCACGCACACGCCCCAGACAACCTGTGTGGTGGGTAGTCCCACGCACACGCCCCAGACAACCTGTGTGGTGGGTAGTCCCACGCACACGCCCCAGACAACCTGTGTGGTGGGTAGTCCCACGCACACGCCCCAGACAACCTGTGTGGTGGGTAGTCCCACG